CACTTATAAATTGACTTCCGCCCCTCAACGACTGAAGTGGGATAACCTCAACAATCTCCCCTCACACATCAAGCTCTAGGTGGGAGCAAACTCGTATCTCCTGTGGACTGTTGGGCTGAAACTTGTTTTATAACTTGAGTTTTGATACCAGTGTTGGGTGGTCTTGGGCTTTCTTAACCCCAAAAGCTAGTTCAAAAGGTGAGGTTTTTCCCCACACTTATAAACTAATCACCAGCCCCCTTCCACAACCAATGTGGAAAAACCTTAATGGTCATAACATCTTAAAGCTTAAGTTGTTAGAGAGTTAGCTTTTATTGTTCCTATATGCATTTAACCACTTTGCACTATGATATTTCGTTGTTCAGATATATAGATGTGGTCATTGGATGACAATCAATTTTCAGGAAACAAGGAAGAGCTTGACAATAACTCCAGATGTTTTGACAGGACAATAGTGAAACAAATTTGATAATAAGTTAAGCAGTCAAACAAATACGACAAAGACTACTGAAATCGACAATGTTCAACCTTACTCGTATAGACTCTACTGCTAAGAAATTTGGAGAACAGTATCAACAGGTTCATCCACTGAAACTTTGCTCATATGGGCTTTACTATCCTCTCCATAAACCCCCATAAAATTCTTCACCCAACAGTTCGTCCCCATCGAAGATGAAATCTATTCAAGTGCATTTGCACAGGCATTGATCAAACTATATGGCAACCACTTCATCATCCAAAGCCCGAGTACGACAACAAAATGCACAAAAGCACAAGCCTTCTACCCCAAAGACAAACAAAATGAGTTCAATGACAAACGCGTATTTTTCTAAGTCTGAGTATGTGTAAGATTATATTCTAGTTATTTGTATAATTGTATTCTTGAAGAGTTGAAGTTAAAAATGCAACATTCATGCTCGTACACAGACAATATGTGCTAATGAACGTGCAGAAAAGACATATATCATTAATTAAAACAACCATGATCAACTTGGTTCTTTTAATTGTTAGAATTTGGGTGTGACCCAAATTCCTTATTAAAGTAATTGAAGAATTTTAATTAAAGTGCATATAAAGAGAAATTCACTTTGGAATGCTTTTGGAATCTTATTCAAGTTAAAATTCTATTTGGAAGCCCTATTGAGAGTTTGGTTTGAAAAAGAACTTTGAAGAAAACAACTTGAAGAAAAAAATGGAAGGGCAGAACGCCCTGCTCTGCGGCACCAGTACCTTTGTTTGGTGTGTTGCCCTGGGAGTAGGGTGCCCGGAGGTGGCGGTGTCTATTCCGAATTTTTGTGTTTTATCTTCTTTTTCGTTTTGGACTCGATTTTTTGGTATCATACTTCATTAACAACTTTACTAGGAGGGTTTGGACGTCCCTTACATGTTTTCTATAAATATTATGATCTTCAGAACATTTTGGAGGGGGTTCATCTATCAAATATCACTCTTCAGAACATTTTGAAGGGGGTTTATCAGCTGCTTTATGATTGATGTTGGAACAAATGTGCATGACTAAAAGTCTGACAAACAAGTTGTATCTCAAGCAATGTTTATACTCTCATCGAATGGCAGAAGGAGGATCATTGGAAGATCACCTGACTGTATTTAAGGAGATAGTAGCTGATTTGGAAACTTTGGAAGTAAAGTATGATGAAGAAGATTTGGCCTTGATCCTATTGTGTTCGTTGCCCGCTTCATTTTCTTCATTTAGATACATGATCTTGTATACTCGTGATACTATCACCATATATGAGGTGTATGATGCTTTATTTTAAAAAAAAAAAAAAAGATGAAGTATCTGGTGTTTGAGGCTAGACATGGATAATGCATTATTGCTCATGGTAGTTCTGGAAGGGCAGATCAAAGTTTAAGTTCAGTAATCAAATTTGTAACTTCTACAAGAAAAATGAGCACATGAAGAAATATTGCTACAAATTGCAAAATAAAGAAAGATTGATTACAAGTCGATATGGGAAGTAATCAGAGACTTCAGGAGAAGCGGACCTCGCAAAGAACATTGTAAGTGAGGGAAATCTCTTGGCCATTTCTGACATCGAGTCTAAACTAGAGGATGATTGCATTTTGGATTCAGTGTTTGCGTTTCATATGTGTCCCAATAAGGATTTTTTACTACATAGAAAACTGTTTCCAAAAGTGTCGTGGTTATGGAAAACAAAACACCTGTCAGGTTGTTGGAATTGGTACGGTCAGAATGAAACTATTGGATGGGACAACTAGAGCACTTGACCAACGTGTTCTAGATTTGAAGGAGAGTCTCGTCTCGTTATCTATCTTTGATTTAAAAGGTTATGAGTTCTTTGGTGGAGGTGGAGTTTTAAAAGTTTGTAAGAGTACCCAGGTTGTATTGGAGGGACATAAAAGGTCTCAATTATACATCTTGTAGGGTCGTGCAGAATCTAGAAGAATCAATCAGCACAGGTTCAGTACTGTAGTTGACATTCAGTTTGGTACAATACCTTTAGGAGCTTGTAAATGGTCAAATTTGAAAAATATAGCTCAGTGGAGTTCAAGAGATATGGATAACCTGCGGTATCATTGTATTCAATTGCTAGGAACATACCCAATGAAAAAAAGGTATGTGGATGCTGATTTTGTTAACATGCTTTCAACGTAGTAGAATCTGTACAATCTAGCAAAAAAGCATTCTTTAAAAGCGTTTGTATTTGATTCTGCTTTGGGGTGTGTTACAATTGAGTTTAGTGAATTTTAAAATTATTATGATTTTTTGGGAATCTGAGATAATTCTGTAGAGTAGTGCTTGGATTCATTGGAAGAGGTGGAGTATTTTATATTTGGTTGGAGAAATCAGTTTTAGTTATTGTTGAAAAGTTAGTTCATTCTTTACAAACAAATTTTCTTCTCCAGGTGGAGAAAATTTTGGAGCTTTGTTCGTTACAGTGGAATTCGTGTCAAGGTGAATTTCTTGTTGAAGTAATTGAAAAATTCTAATTGTAATGTACGTCAAGAGGAATACAGTTTGGAATGATTTTGGAGTTTTATTCAAATTGAAATTATATTTGGAAACCCTATTGGGAATTTGGCTTGGAAAATTACTTTGAGATAAAGAAAACAACTTGAAGAAAAAAAGGGAAGGGCAGAATGCCCGGCGTCGCAGCGCCACTTGTCTGTTTCGAATTTTTGCGTTTTCTCTCCTTTTTCGTTTTGGACTCAATTTTTTGGCATCATACTTTTCAACAACTCTACTATAATGGTTTGGATGTCCCATACATGTTCCCTATAAATATTATGCTCTTCTATACAATTTTATAGTGTGAAAAAAGTGATTACTAGCGTTTAGAATCATTGTAATATTCTCCTCTTCATTATTTGTGGTATAATAAAATCTCATAATTCTCTTGCCATATTTTCTTGTCTTCTTTTATTCTTTTGCTTGCGATCATATACGTTATATTGTTCCATATAATTTCAACATTTCAATCAGGTGGTTGATTTCATATCAAGTGGTATTGAGCGATACGTGATCCTTGAATTCCCAACAATTGGTATCAGAGATTCTGGGAATAATTAACATAACATTAATCTTGAATCTTTACCATTGACATAGCTTTGTTCAAGAGAATCAAGACCGGTCCATGAGCCAAACAAAAATTGCCGTGCTTTATCAAATAAAAATTTTACTTCAACTGAAAGAATGGAAAGCAAACGGAATATATCATGTTATGTATTAACATTTAGTAGCAGGCCACAATAATTTAACACCATAATGTTGTGGACAATCAAATCACAGGGTTACAGAACCTTCATCTAATAATAGAAAGATCCAAGAAAAGAAGAGGTATTCATGTTTTCACTGCATGCAGAGGAGAATCGAGGCTTACTAATTGATGTCCAAACTGTCTAAAACCTATATAGTGAACACTTTCCCCATAGCCTTACTAATATATAGGCTGTCCTGACAAGTATCACATTTCGAATTCATCATCAAGCTTGAATGCCTCGGCCATGGCTTCCTCCTCTTCATAAAAACCCAGAGTAGCTAATTCAGCAGCCACGACGCCAGTCCATTGATACTTGTATGATGTCATAGACTCCAATGCATAAGCCACCAGCCTCATAAAGTATATATAACAAATAACCATAACATAGTACTGTCTTGACGCCGTGCGAAACAAGGAATCGAAGCGAAAACCTTAATAACACAAATTCGGA